AATAACTTACGGAATATTTAATACTTTCTAATGAAGATCTTCATTATATATTTGAGTCGAATTCGAAAGCAGAAAATGAAAACCAACTGGACAGATTCTTACCTGATGAACGCCAAAGCAGCGATATACAGTATCTCCATTTCTGCCAAAACGGTGTAGAATAGATTTAGGGAGATCTGCACACCCTTGGACATCCTGTTTGGGTCACACAAAAGCTCTGTCATGGCTTCTTCAACCTTGAATGGCATCACCACCAGGCACATGAGTAGTGTGGTGGTGAACATACTACACAGCAGCACCTTCAACGGTTTCTGTGTTTTTTTGCACGTCACTATACACCACAGCGCCACAACGTTACCTGCAAGTTATATAATTATAAACGATACACCAAAGTATGGTGGTGTTGTAGTGGATTCCTCCCCTACAAACGCTATTTGTCGCCGAGTAGCCGACCCCGCGAATTCCACAGTGTATGCCTCGTGGTCTTGGTCAACCAGCGCCGCCTTACATGACGGAGGTCAACTATTAAGCCACGCCTACCTCCGCTATATAAGACCTGACCTCGTGGTGACCACTCTCTTGATAATACCAATAGCCAAGATCAAAACAAGTCCAGTAATCGTCGACCAGGAACTATACCCATACGACACTGAAGGCAGGATGCTTGGACTAAAACTAACAAAAAGAGGATATATAACACACAAAAGATAAAGAACAACAGGCAAGAATAAGATTATCAAAAATAAAACGCTTTAAGAACCTTAGCATTAATAACAAAAGAAAGATTTATATTGCCCTTGTCAAATCAATTATGGACTACCCACCCATCCCATTGAACACTCTTAGTAAAACGAGCATTAAAAGGTTACAAACAGTACAAAATATGGCCCTCAGATTTATACTGTATATAACATAAAATATACAGACCACATCAATAATGAACAGCTACACAAGAGAGCAAACCTCTTAGCAATCAATGTAGAAATACACAACAAAGCTGCAAATATTTGGAAAAGTGACTGAACTTAACACAGAAACATATCAAAACTGGATGAATAATATAGACAACGAAGAATTCCAAGAACACAGTTGGTTTAAATCAGCCAGGAAGAAAGTAATTGAACCATCTCCTGCCCCAATATACACATAAAACATTAATAGAGAGAATAAAAGATGAGAGTGACCTACCAGCTCCACTAAGAACCTGGCAGGCCTCTCCATACAGTGTACCTTTAGACTAACACAACTAACACTTAACTAACACCTCAGAAAAAAAAATGTGACTACCCTCCCAGTTACACAAGGACCTGGGCGGGCTCACTAACTCCAACAATAATAAAATAATAATAATAAGCAGCATTATATAAATAAACCAATATTAATACAAAGGTCTGACGACCCAAGGGAGCAGAACAAAGATAAAACACCAGTAGGAAAGATGAAGCGATCTGGTTGAGCCCAGATTCATTCTACTCCTACTGTATTTCAGTTTCACCACTTTTCCTTCAACCCCTAATAATCTTCTTTCACCTCATAACTAAAGACTCCGTACCGACCACTCTCTCTTTTCTACCTACACCAACCAGCCAGCAACACCTCCTCCTCCGCCTGCCTGGCGGCCCTCGCTCCTGCCGGCGAGCATGGCGACCCACAAGCTGTCCTCCTCTGAGCATCCTCACCAACCAGCTCTCTCTACATCACGCTTGTAACCACGCTGCCACTTCCCAGCACCAAGCTGCATTATACATCCAATACAACATGTATACAGAGAGCACATTGTGAGTTTCCTTTCTCCATCCCATCCTGAGTGTGAACCAAACATAGGTTGGATGCTTATATGAGCAATAGGGGTTGGGTGTAAACGGGACTGCCCAGTATGGGCCAATAGGCCCGCTGCAGTTTCCTCCATTCTTATGTTCTTATAACGTACCCCACAGTGTAACTTCAAAGTTTTCCGTTAGGATACGACTGGGTTGTAAGACACCCAAACAAGTAGAAACTGACAAATTAACCCCAGAAAAAAATCACAAAGTGCAGAAACTCACAGACGGTGCCGAAGACGAAGATCAAATAGTATTGAAAGACAGCGTAGCGAAGTAGGCATGGGTACGTCCCCCAGCAGTTCTCACAGCTGCCCTCACTACAGTTCATCTTGCTGTCTTACAAACAACAGACGTTTTCTTTAATAATATCGCCACTCAACCATTTCAAGCTACACCAGGGCACTATACAGCAAACGCAAATATATTTTTGTGTTTCTTTGGAAATCTTCCACTTACAGTTGGCACAAGGTTAAGTAATCCTAAAGAGGATGGCAATCACCACTTGCTTTTTATACACTACTCCAACACACACTGACAATCTGTTGAAGTTGAATAAAGAGAATAAGTCGACATTGTTTAACTTATACCCAACCAGAGTTGCCAGATATGTTTTTCCTAGCAGAAGAGGCCAAACATTTTTACAGAAATGAGAAATATAAGGCCACACCCCATTTTACCAAATACTATATTATTAATTAAGTGAGGTATTTGCTGAAAGTACATTAAACAAAAATGCATAAAAAATATCAACACTCACAATTTGTTGTTGAATTTTAAGACGCCTTGGCAAGTATAACGGAAGTTTTAGAAATCCACTGCATTTAAATTCGTGACAAATCCTGCGCTGGATGTTGATGGTCCTGTAATAGACTCTTCTGCTCTTGTACAACTAGCTGTTGAATAAACTTAACATCTTATCAGACTCCATTCCCCAGGGCGCCTATGAAACAAACGTTCGTGTTGCTCTTGCTCCTGATGCATTGTTGAGGGTCGGGAATACCGGTTTCACTCTGATATTTTTTTCTTCTGTCAATTACTGCCTCGGTCCCGTTGCCACCGTTATATACCTAAGTGTTCCAGTGAAATATAAATGATACGACAAATTTTGTTTACTATAACTACACGCTTATGTAGCTTAGTGTATTTATTTAACATTGTGTGCAGGAGGCAACATGGGCTCGAACATTCACAACTAGACAGCCTCAAGGTGTATGCATTATTTTCCCTGTTTACTGGGCACAAGGCGGCGTCCACAAACAGTACATCATAAAATGCAAATTCTATAAAACTCGGTTCTACCGCTCTTGGGGTTGGAGTATTCTCTCCCTCCTCCATGGATCTTACAACTGTCAGACACAGGCTACGAAAACATTATTCCAATCTATGGTGAGTTTAATTAAAAAACGTACTATGGTGGTAAGTGACATAATCCTATTACGACAGCAGCTTGTGAAAGTATTTTCAAAGGTTCGTGCGATGAAAAATAAGGAGAATAATTTTCAGGATCCTCAGCTTTAATTTTATCTCCCAACTGGTGTGATTTGGTTAAAGAATCTCAGCTTAATATTTTTGCTATTTTGGGGTGTTATTCTTGTCTTATTTTATGTCAAATAATTAGGTATACATTCTTAAATAATCAGTTACGAAACAAATACTTCGCATGAATCTTTGTGAAACCCTGACGCTTGGTGACCGCATGAAAACATTCAACAATTTTCAGAAATAGGATTGTCGGTATTCCCGTGTCGTCATATTTCTCAATTTCCGTGCTTCCTTTCCTCGGGTGTGTCGAACTGTCAGTGGCGCACCCAGGGGGGTTTCCTGGTTGCCCGGAAACCCCTCCTCCAGGTACTGCATGGTGCGGCCAACCCATACCTGACCTGGCGACACCTTAGTAACACGAAGGTTAGTAACACGAAGGTTGGGTCAGCTTACCTGACCTCACCTCACGCCACTAAAGGGTTAACTTATATATTCAAGTATTATGCTGTAGCATGAAAACTGAAAAAAAAGAGGGGGGAAGGAATCGTGGGAGCTCCTTCCTTGTGGAGGTCCTGAGGCAGCTGCCTCATGGTTAATCCGGCACTGATTTATACATATTCGAATTTAATTTCGAAGCCTTCTGCTTCGTCTCGCCTAAGTGTACCAAGATATATAAAAGATAAATCTTGCGTGATACAACGCCATCTGACGACTATACGCAGGGCTAACGCAGGTGCTACACGTGTTCATTTTTCTTCAATACTAAATAAGTTTCTTAGTCGACCTCCCATGTCAGTGGTCACGTGACGTCCAGTTGTTGCTTTTGTGTACGAGATCGAGGGGCAGGAACTGAGGAACTCAGTGGAGGGAGTTGCAGAAAAAAAGGTGGGATATTAATAAACAAGGAGCGAATTAGGGAGTGAAGGGCGACAATAAAGTAATGGAGGGAGTAATTTGATACAAAAATGATAAAGAGATTAGGTATAATTTACCGGCTCCAGTTGGGTCGTTAGCTGGAATATAATATTAATAAATGTTCAGCTTAGTTGTGCGGCCATATCTTTTTCGAGTTTGGCAGGATCTATTAACATTATTTTTTTTAAATGGAATTATTTTTTTATGGGAGATCAAGAAAAAAAACACGAAATCCGGTAAGAAGTTAAGGCTGAATTCAGAACTGATTACATAACACAAACCAAGCGAGACAAATCCAATGGAGCCAAATAAGAGTATAATTAAGCTAGAATTGTTAGATTGGATTTGCTTTACTTGCTTCGTGTTATACAGTACTGGATATTTTTTGGTTCGCTGAATTTAATTTGTTATGAATTATTATCCGTCCCATTCTGCGGTAGTCTACTTGTCTTGAGTAGTAGACATGACCAAGGAGCTTCGTAATAACATTTTCTGTTTAACTGCGCTAACGCCTGATCGAAAGAGGCGCGGTCCGACTAATTACCCACATGTACCCAAATGTAGCCGCAATTAAGTCAAATAATGGTCCTACATGAATAAATCGGACTGCTAATCACTTCTCGACTAGTATTTGGTGTCACAAATATAAATAAATAAATATATATATATATATATAAAGCGCAGAGTCGAGCTCTGCGCAGACCACTCAGAGCTCGACTTGCTGCAAGTTGCTAGCTAGTATTGGCCACTCATTATGATTTACTCTACAGATGAAGCGGCAGCTGAAGTGGTGGACGGGCATGGTAGGACTGCTGGTAGGATTAGTGGCCTTCGGAGCACTCGTAGGCGTGACCAGCTATCACATGGGCTACGAGGAGGCCCATCTGTGGGCCGCTGACAAACAGCAGCAGACCCTGGGCCTCGCCAAAGAGAATTGCCGGAACTGTAAGTCACTACCCCTCTGGAGGGTCCGAATTCACAAAAAGTTCCTGTACGTTGATTTTTCTCCCTATCTGGTGTTAAGTGAACGTATCTAGTTTAATTAGTCTAATTGTAATGTTGATACCATCTAGGGTATTAAGTCAGCCAGTCAGATACCTTCTTCAAGAAGGCTTCTTTTATGTCGATTTTAGAGGAAAATTCAAATATATACCTTTGGGAACCACCAGGATTCAGTTTATGTTCTAACTTGAATGCAATTATAGTATTTTCTATTGATAATTCTTGACAAGAGTGGTCTGGGCACCAGCCTAGCATCATTTGGAGATAAATTTATAATAACGGAGATACTGTTGAAGCAACATTTGAATCAAACAAAATGAACGTCTGTCGCTTTATCACATGACACGGAGTTTTTCCAAAATATAAATTTGAATTCTGATGATTTTCTTCTATGGTATTTCTAGTGCAAATTGATAATAACGTAGATACAGTACAAGTAAAATTATTATTTGGATCGATTAGTGGCGAAGAGGATAAGTAAACGTGACAGTAAGCTACAGGGCTTGGAAGTTCTACGGGGCTGTTTAGTCCCCCACCCCCCCCCAATCCAAATGGTTGTACACAACGCACGAAACAAAAGAACTTATTTTATTTATTCAACAGATGTGAAGAGGATGCAGAGACTAATGACAACAGAAAGACAAATAGTACAGGCGTTGGTTGCAACTACACTGCCAAAAGTTGGTGTTAAGCAGACAAATGCAGCTATTCGGGCAATGGGTGCAACTCAACAAGCAGGAGTAACTTCACAGAAAACAGGAGCAACTCAACAGACAGGAGCAACTCAACAGACAGGAGCAACTCAACAGACAGGAGCAACTACACAGAAAACAGGGGCAACTCAACAAGCAAGAGCAACTCCACAGAAAACAGGGGCAATTTTACAATCAGGAGCAATTTCACAAGCATGAGCAAATCCACACGCAAATGTAACTACAGACAGCAGGCACAACTACCAAACAGGTGCAAATACACAGACAACAGAAGCAAATACACAAACAACAGGTGCAAGTACACAGACAGCAGGTGCAACTACACACACAGCTAGTGCTAGTACACAGACAGAAGGTGCAACTACACACACAGCTAGTGCTAGTAAACAGACAGCAGGTGCAACTACACACACAGCTAGTGCTAGTACACAGACAGCAGGTGCAACTACACACACAGCTAGTGCTAGTACACAGACAGCAGGTGCAACTACACACACAGCTAGTTCTAGTACACAGACAGCAGGTGCAACTACACACACAGCTAGTGCTAGTACACACAGCTAGTGCTAGTACACAGACAGCAGGTGCAACTACACACACAGCTAGTGCTAGTACACAGACAGCAGGTGCAACTACACACACAGCTAGTGCTAGTACACAGACAGCAGGTGCTAGTACACAGACAGCAGGTGCAAGTACACAGACTTTTGGCAACTGCCCTAAAGCAGTTTAGGACTTGCCCATTAATAAATGAATAAACCTTGGGTGAGTTAAGGTGTACCACATCCAACTCATGTGTGGCACCCCCAATTGGTTAAAATTCTAGGGTATTTTTGTATTAGTAGGCCCAAAACAATTTCTTAATTAAAAGCACATTGGGTTTACTTTTATCCTCTTCACCACTGATCAGCTCGTTAGCCGCTTGGGCAATCGGTCATGTCGCCTTTATGCACTGTTGGTAAGTACTGGGCGTGCACTGGCTCCTGAATGTATCTGAACCTGCTCCAGTACTTTTTAAGTCTGGTCTTGAAAGAGCTCACACTCAGTGCCGGCACAACACTGGCAGATTGTTCCAAGAGTTCACAACTTTGAACTCTCACTCTGAAAAAGTTACCTCTTACAGTTTTCTGGGCATGCGGCTTCTTCAACCTTGAGCTGTGACCACTTGTGGGGCGAGTTTCTGCCAGTTCCAGATAAGGGCATTTGACTGAGTTAGGTTAAGTTAACGGGGTCCAGTTAGCAAGTTTAGGTAGGTTAGAGGCGTTTTAGATGCACAGAATAGCAAACTCGTTAGCTATTCTGTCTGCGCAGACAATGCTGTTGTGTTGTGCCCATGACACCTTGAGAGGGAAGACCTAATGCCTCGATCAGGTGTTAGCGTGTGCAGTGGGCAGCAGCGCCAGAATAGCTAACAACCAATCGGTGAGTTTCTCCAGTGGGTAAATGCAGATCATGGCCGCTTACGGAGAATATTTTGATTAATATTGAAGAGTTGGGGGTATGTAAGGCAATAAAAATTTGTGGTATAATAAAAATAATTCTTTACTGTATATGGTAGTACATTGGATATGACCCTAAAACAAGGCGTACTGGGCATGAAATAATTGAAAAGGATCGTGCCTAGTTGAAACCTGTTTTGGCTACGCCCTCTTATAAGTGGGTGTTGTCCAATTTCATTAGCTGTTGGTGACTTTGGTGTAACAGTTTTTATAATTACTCAAATATGATCGAAACCTTAATATCATTACTCATAGGATCATTAAAATAAGGGTGAACAAGTTGATTACAGTTCTGTAAGTGCAAATGTTAAGGCAAACGAACCTGAAATTCTTCATATTTCGTGTATAAATATGCAAACATCTAGTCACGAGAGACAGATGGTCAGGGCCGTCCCTAGGAGGGTGCGGGGCCCGGGGCAACTCAGCCACTGCGGGGCGCCACACCAGTGTCAGATTATGCGGTCAGAGGAACCAACCCCCATGGGACTGTCGCTATGGATGGTAAGGTCACGGTTGCGATGGTGGCGTAAGCTGTCGGGTTAGATTAACCAGTCAACAGGTAATGTATCCGAGGTCACTGGGTCTAGTGCTGGGCCCCCCACACGCGCGGGGCCCCGGGCGGTTGCCCCCAAAGGATCTGCTCGGTCTTCTGACGTTCTGGAACGTCACCTGGGGCATGCTGGTCGGACGTTCTGGAACATCATCCGGGGCGTGCTGGTCGGACGTTCTGGAATGTCACCCGGGCCTAAGGGTTAACTTACAACAATAGCTGTAAATCCCTAAAATAAGAGCTTAAGGGTTAAAGTACAATCTCCAAAAAAGGTACAGCTACTCCCCGACTTACGACCACCCGGACATACGACTGCCTCAGTCGTACCAAAATTTTGTCAAATTATGTATTTTCGAGTCCCAATGTCAGTGATTGTGCTGTGTTCTGACAAAAAAAATTTTGTAATTCACTTTAATATGGCTGGCAAGCTTAAAAGTGAGAGTTTTGTGGTGCTGAGAAGAAAAAGAGACACCCATTTTAGATTTCTATGTACAGTATTATTTAAGCATTTTCGACTTAGACCATTTTGACTTACGACCTGGATTTGGTTCCCTAACCCCGTCGTAAGTCGGGGAGCAGCTGTATTGTTAGCCATGGGGTCGATGTTATCTGAGGCTTTCCAAACAATGTTACTTGACCTGTGTTTGACTGGTTGGTAGTTCGAAGTCCACGATCCTTGAGCATGAATGAATATACTGTATATGTTTTTGAATGATGACATGACATGAAATACCAGTGACAGGGGGGAAGGAGGTTCAGGGGAAGAATAAAGGGAGGATTGAAGTGAATTTTAGGAGGAGAGAATAGGTGCAGTGGCTAAACACCGCTTGCGTGAGGGAGTGTAAGTTGGAGGCAGCAGCAACTCGCCCGGACGTGCATCTGTCATGTGAAGAGAGAAATGGTGCTGAGGCTATTGTTCCACTCTGAAAAATATACGATGACCTGAATTTCAGGAAGGATCAGAAGATATTCTTTCAGTGGAATAAAACACGAAATATGATTCTGCAACATAAGTACTGTACAGTAGCTTCATCCTAACTCTGTGGCTGACATACTGGCCTAGTGCCAATTACCAAAACAAAACAAAAATGCAATTTTTTCAAACTCAAACCTGGTAACTCTGAATAACTAAAGTTAAATCCCCAAATCACCTGACTCCTTAATACACCTACCTCCTTTACACTCTTTTCCACCATCATGCATGTTCTCACTATCTCCATAAGCCTCCTTTTAATGTAAGTTCAAGAATAGGCAGGGTTAGATAGAATTTGGTGAGAATTCCTGTGGTACAAATTATTGAATTTACGTAAGTGGTGTTGCATGCTGCTGTCATTTGGGTGGCAGCTGCAATGGGCTAACACTTGAGGATATTGTATGTGCATACTCTTTGTGTGGTGCTCACAATTACATTGCATTTTAGGTTATACTCTAAACTTTTACAGTACAGTACTGTTATGTATGTTAGGTGTGGGTTCCTGGTCAGTGGTCCTTTGGTTATATCATATGGTGTTTCATGTACAGTATATGATAAATAGGATTATGGTTCCTAAGTCCTTATACTATAGCATTCCCTCATTTTAAAAGAGTTTGTTACATATGGTGTCGAAGTTAAACAAATGATTTATTAACAAGAAAAATTCTATATAAACGGTGCAGTTTAGAGTTCACTGATTTAGTGAAAACACAGTGAGCACCTTTGCTGCCCAATACTACCTCCTTAATCCAGCCCATGGATCAGGGCATCATAGCCACATTCAAATTGTATAGTAGAACCTTGTTATACCTAACTCTGCTATTTCGAACTTCACCTAATTCAAACAAATTTCAAATTGCATTCACCAAAAATTAACAAAATTGCTATGACAAACAATAAAAATGATAGTAGCACATCGTAAAATACATTAACACACTTTTCATGAATCAAAATTAGCTTCTTTAACCCTCAAACCATCCTCTTGGTGATGCAACACAGTTCAGCCAGGCAGCCACAATGGGGGGAGCAGCATGACTGGACTGACAAGGCAGAGGCAGGAACAACTCGTACAAATGTTATAAGAGAAAACAGTTATTTTAAGCTGAGCATAAATTTAACTGAATAAACTTGACAATCAATAGTGAAGAGGATAAAGTAAACTGAGCAGAGGTGCACGAGTATAAACTGAAATAGGCCTAACTAGCTAAACTGCCATTGCGAGATTGACAATCTGCCCACTGCCTGCACACACATGTTCACCTCTGCCACACAGAATACACACCCATACTCTTTTTTTTATTTTTTTATTATATATTCTTTATTTCTAAGTCACATTAGAGTATTGGAATGATTTTCCCACAACTTTTCGTTTAATTACTGTACATGTAATAATAGCATGTGTGTAGCCATCTCACAGGCCACCTCATCCTACACCACCATCATCCTCCAGTCTACATAAAAACCAGCCTGTATTGGCAAGTACAGTGCTCATTTATACTGCATTTCTATTGACTTATATTAATGTACAGTATATTCATGTATTATTTATGTGTGCTAAGTCAGTTAGTGAGATAATGGTTTAGTATTCTTTGTACCATGTTAAAAGAGGTTGGCTGTAAACACCCTTTTCTTGGAACACATCCCTCGTTTATGACGAGAGATTAGTATACAGTAGTAAATGAGTTTTTACATACCTGATATTTTGCTTGATAATAATTAGCAGAACTGCTAACTTTGCTTTGCTGTCAGTCACTGGGATGTGAATATATGTTCTACTGTAGAACTGAGTTTGGCTCATGCTACCTTATAATTATGGATAAAAATTACTCACTGACCAATATGACAACTTGAAGTCACATTTGTCAGGCTGTGTACAACCATCAGCACTGTTAAGACTATGAGCAATCAAGATATGCCCAGAAAGCACCAACCAGCTCACATTGAAGCAGCTTACGAGCAACTCCTGGTCATTCGTGTTGTATTCATAATCAGTATAGTATAGGTATTATAAAAAGGTATGCAAATAAATTCAACTACTGTACTGTACTAAAGAATCTTCACAATAACAATACCACAAGACATAAGTTCTCTGTGAACCATTGATTCATATTGTACAGTAGTGTATTTGTAAAATTCAAATTGCAAATATTGACTTGGATTAATGTCAAGTAACAAATTTCACTGTGATGCACGATGACCTTTGAACACCAGGTTATGGCTGACAGCCTCTACAGCAAGGTCCTGATGGTTCTCGATGTGGGAAAGATTACGATACGTACTCTGTTTTGCCTCTACTGACACAGCCACTTGCATCACTTATTAATCACACAACTTGAAATATTCAGGTAAATGGGTATCTGAGCACAGTAAGATATTAATCACAAAAAGACTTGTATAATATATCAAACCTGCATGGTGACTTAGTAAAATTTATTTTTCATACTGTATAGAATGCAACCTTCTGGCATTAACAAAGTAGTTATACAAGATATACAATTAAACCAGCTGTAATTCTTCTTTATCCAAATACTGTTTTGGTTACCACATTAAAATGAAATACAGTACATTCAATGCTAAAAATAATGTTGTATTAAAAAAACTATTGAACTTGCAATATTGCTCAAAGTATATATATATATATATATATATATATATATATATATATATATATATATATATATATATATATATATATATATATATATATATATATATATATATATATATATATATATATATATATATATATATATATATATATATATATATATATATATATATATATATATATACATACATATATATATATATATATATATATATATATATATATATATATATATATATATATATATATATATATATATATATATATATATATATATATATATATATATATATATATATATATATATACATATATATATATATATATATATATATATACATATATATATATATATATATATATATATATATATATATATATATATATATATATATATATATATATATATATATATATATATATATATATATATATATATATATATATATATAAGCTTAATTCAAGCAGAGTACAGTAATATCTCCTTTAACCGGAATCCCTCAAACACGGAACTCTCCGATAGCCGGAATCGGAATTTTCTCGGAAAATCGTTCCAAAAGCCAGAATTTTCCGGAAAATTCCATTTTGAGAAAGATTTTCCGAGGGGCACATTTTACGGAAAATTCCAAGAAAATTTTTCCGATACCAGGAAATTCAGGGGATGGGAGAGTGTTTTCCAGGTTTGAGAGATGAAAATCAGGAGCATTTTCTGAAAATTCTGAGAAAAATTTTCCCTTACCCAGAAAATTCTGGGGATGAAGGATATTTTTCCGGGTTCGAGAGATGATGTAATGGGCAATTTCTGGAACTTCCAAGAACATTTTTCCGTTACCCGGAAAATTACGGGGTTTTTTCTGGCTTTGAGAGTCGTCTCATTACCCAGAAATCTCTCATTCCCGGAAGTACTCTGCACCAATTGTTTCGGCTAATGGGGATATCACTGTAATTGTTTCTTCAAATTATTTTTTATTTTACCTTTTAACTATTTAATATAACTTTGGTCCTTGATTGGCTCAACTAGCGCATTTCCTCATCTAGTTCCTCTAACTGTGTGTACAATATCAGATACAAATTTATTCAATATTGAACTTAATTCTATTATATTGTATTTATGTTGGGTTTAAGTGTACAGAGTACTGACTATCACAATATCAGTTTTTTGTAACTACCAACACTGCCATCATGCTCCTCCTAGTTCTCCCACTCCTCTGACATGGCAATAACTACATTAGCAAACTGCCAATACAAAGTAGTACAACTTCAGTGTGTGAACAATAAATTAATGACAACTTACAGACACCTCAGACAATCACTGAATCATATTTCTATGAAGCTGCTAATATATGATCCATATAAAGAAACAAATAGATGCAGCCAGTTATGGCCACAAACTCTGCTGGCCCTCAAAAATTCTCTACTATAGATCAACATTATTGTTTTAACTCTGCCAATTATCAGCTTGACACATACTGATCAGACTAACCATGGTCTACCTGCACAGGTTTAATGTTAATTTGGCTGGTCATTTTTTCGTGTCAACGATGTTCCATAAAAACCGACCAGAATGAAAAATTTTTTTGACTGGGATCCCATAAACAACCTTTAATGGGATACCCAAAGGGATATCCGTGCTACACCTCACGGTGACGCAACTGATAACTTTTGAGAGAAAGAAGAAAGATGACAAAAACGGACGGAGGGTGGGCCATGGTAAAAGTGAGCCAGCTGAGTTACAATGTAAAAATAAAATAAAATAAACCATTCCTTCAGTTGGGTAACAGCCTATCCAGGATGTAGCTCCTCCACATCCATAACAGGAAAACTCATAGCTCCACTCATGCTTTAAATAAGATATGCAATTTGTAACTGTCCAGGATCATGGTGAACTCCTAGCATACAAGTAGCCAGTACAGAGTGTACCCAAAATTAGACATTAACCTGGTACAGAGAAAAGAATCTCCACTGCACATTATCTATGGAGTTTAACATTGCTAATGCATTTAAAGTGCATTAAACATAACCCATTTTCAACTTCACTCTAATGGTTATCACACATACCAACAATAATGAGCTATTGTTTTGTATAAGAAAAACAAACTATATAATGAAATTCTTACACGAGTGAACCAATGGATATCTCACAATCCATAAAGGAACTGTCCAAAAAGCCCTGACTTACAATTCCCTATTATAGTTCAGGTACAATTTTAGGGCATGCGGGAGAGGGAGTAAACTAATCTTCTCTCGCATATGAGTAGAATATGTCTCTGCAGCAGATACTCTCTTAGGACTGTCACCTTCTTCCTCTTCATTACCTTCTGCTTCATCTCCATCCCCTCTTCTCGTTTTAAATGTCTCACTGCAGTTTCCACCGCAAGGGCAGTTAGGATCATCTGCATCTAGAAGCCGTGACACTTTTTTTCTTAGGGCAGAGTGATCAGAGTAATCTGAATCAGTAGAATCAATGTCCATGTCAATGTCACCATCATCCCCTTGATCCGATTCTGAGCTGGGTCCTTTGCCATTTTCTATCTCATCCCCGACTCCGCTGTCAAACTTTTCTCGTTTTTTATTTGACTTAACTGGCATCACAGGTGTGGAGGTCATGGGTATTGGGTCAGAATGTGGAAGAGTAGAAACTGACGGTGCTGGTTCTTCACCATTCCGAGAAGTTTCTGCAAGCACTTCTTCAACATCTTTGTTCACTTCCTTATCTTTGAGAAAATCAGTTCGTTTTAGAGGTTCCTTGGGTTCTGTTTCATCATCATGATTCTCTTCAATGTCGGAATCATTCGTGCTGTTGTGTGCATCATCATTGTTTCCTTCCTCTCTGTCCTCTTCCAGTCCATCAATATCTGCATCTCTTTCTTCACGTTGGTTTTGTCTGGTTTCAATGTCTTCTCTGTCCCTCTCAATCCTCCTCTGTCCTGCAAGGTTTCTAGCCAATTCAATGAAGGCTGATATTTGATTTGCTGTGTGGCGCTGAGCATCATTGAGAGTATCACGGTCATCCCTATCTTCGTTGTCATCATCTGATATCATCTGAGGGTCATCATCAGATTCATAGAAAGGGACAGGAACGTAGGGAACAACAATACGCCTGATTTGTCGACGATCACGAGGCCTTGAGAGTTTGTGAACTGGTCTGTTTGCAGCTGTGACCAAATCAGGATGCTCATGTTCAACATTTGCACGGAGGAGTGAACGAAGCTCCTGACGGCACATGTCCTGAAGATCTGGCAGCTCCACACCAGCTAGTGGGTAACCCAAACAAAGATAAAATAGATTACTTTGTTCAGTGGTAACAAACTAAATTTTCTTATTGAAATAGATTGTAGGACCTTTATACATTCAAATTAATAATAAACCATTTTTTAAATCTTTCATGCCTATATCTGCTATAGCATGCCAGGGGGTAACTGGGATCGAGAGAAAAAATGCATCCATACATACCAGTACAATACAGACACTACCCAGGTTATGGATGGGTTCCGTTCCTGGAGGCTATTCGTAAGTTGGAAATGACCCTTCCATAGGTACATGTAACACACATGTTACATATAATGTATACAATATTACTACAGGTGCTCCTCTACTTACAAACGAGTTATGTTCCTGAGGCTTGTTTGTAAGTCCAACTTTACTCTTGTAGATACCAAACATATTGTAAAAATTGAAAAGATTATGGATATTTAGTACAGCTATACTCTTTAATACAGCCTTAAAACCTGGCTCACTCTTCTCCTCTTAGGTAATGCTTGTTCTATCTGGAATTTTCTTCAAAATAATCCAGTCTCATCCAAATTAAAACACTCATTCAGGCAGGTAACCCCTCCTCAGTGATGATGTTTATATCTCTGAAAGTTTGTAAGTTGAACGTTCTTCAGTAGAGGAGCACCTGCATACAGGTATGGGACCCTTTATCCAGCATGCTTGAGACCTGGGGTTTGCTGGACAGGGGGTATTAACAAAATTGGAACATCAGGCCTAAAATGTACTAAATATACAGTAAACCTTCTATAACTGGCTGTGAAGACTTTGTTCAGATGATTACATTCACCCCTAAAAGTAGTTTTAACTGTACGCTGTAACATTATATTGTAAAATTGTTGGCATATAAACATCAACACCATATACCTGTAAATAGCATTAATGAAAACATAGGAGAGCAAAAATGATACAAGTTAGTGTACAAATTGTGTTGCAGTTGCCCCTGGTGCTCGCCTTTGGAACACAGCAAAGTCCATAGCAACGGTGCTCTGCCACAGACCCTCTGACCTCCACACAATCACCACACAGCTTCATGGTGAAAGCCCGGAGATACTTAAAACTTTATGATAATTATTTTTTATACCTTATGATAATTATTTACTTTACTGTATTAATTTTTGCACTTTCTGTATGTAAGAGTGTGTGTGTGTGTATGTGACAGAGCAAAAAAAAAATTACGCATATCTACCTAAAATTATGAGTTAAAAAATACTTTATACCTTATGATAATTACTAGCAGTGGCTTATATAAGTTTTTGGAAAATGGGTGGGGGGGGGGTGGGGACAAGACTCGAAAATAGGGACATTATTTTATTTACATCCAGTGGTGTAAGCAGAGGGCCAATATTCGTACTTCATTTCACTGGCATGATTCAATTACTCAAACTTTTTTTTAATCTGTTCATCTTTTCATGATCATGTTATATATATATATATATATATATATATATATATATATATATATATATATATATATATATATATATATATATATATATATATATATATATATATATATATACAGTATATACATACATACATACAGTGAACCCTCACTTTACGCGGTCAATTGAACCCACCGAGGCCCGCGTAAAACGAGAAACGCGTAAAGTGAACAACATAACGTATGGGATTAAATGAAATAGAGACCAGGCCGACCCCCAAACTCCACTTTTCCCGACACAATACGTACGTTTTACTAAAAATAACATCTTAACTTTACGATGGTATTCACCCACACATAATATAGAAGGGAACAGTCAATAAGAGAAGAATAGACTGAGGGTTAGGTTAGAAAAAAACAAGGTTGGGATTAACACTTACGTTAGTAGAAGAGATGGGTCGGCGTAGGGGAATGGAGGCTGGTTCCGAGGCAGAGGGCAGGCTACTGGCCCTCAGGTGAGTCTTCATCGGTGTCATCCACACTTACTAGAGCCTCCCTGACAAATCCCTCAAAGTCATCATCACTGCCTCTGTCACTATCACTGGCTTGGGCTGGCTGTGGTGGGTTGCGGGCGAAGAACTCTGTTATGCTTTGCTGACGGCTGGTGTTTGTGTTGTCGTGATAAACCTTGATGTAGGGCTCCATAGTCTGCGACAGCTGGGTAGTGAAGATTTCATACCTGTTTGTGTCAGGGTCGTCGGTAAGGAGGAGCTTGACTTTTTCGATACACTCGATGGCACCCCTAACATTACTATGGGATAAGCGGCGTTCTTCTTGGGATGACGCACCACCTGCCTCTTCACTGACGTCATCATCATCTACCATCTCGTCGGTAGTCACATCAGGATCCCTTATCACCTCCAGGATGTCGTCGTTGGTGGTCTCGGAGAAGCCTGCAACTGTAACACTCTGCGCAGCTTCTCTGGCAAGGTCCACTGCTACTGCAACAGTCTGAACCTCACCAGTCACAGATTTACTCTGCCTAACACCCGGAATGCCTTGCAACACGTGTCTCCATGCGTGACGAACAGTTGCTACAGACAGCTGATCCAATGCCTCCACCAAGAAGTCCACAGCTTTCTTGACGTTGAATGTTCTCCAGAATTGTTTTAAAAGTACTTCTTGCTCTGCCAACTGTTGATTCTCGTCGTCTTCGCTCTTGCTATCGGTGTTGGTGTCACTCAGGTTACGCAACTCTTCCTTGGTGTTGGTGTAGTCGTT